ATGGAAAAAAATGTCTTTAAATAGTGTCTCTCCTACATTCTCTTGGTTCCCTTTTTCTGGCGCTCAAAGTAGATATAATTAGGCCTTCTTTTATTTTTCTCTCCTTGTATTTCTCTCTCCTCCCGGCCGTATTCTGTGTAGTTTAACCCAGTGTAGTTAACTCACGTCTCTCCTTTATGCTCTTATATATGCTCTTAACTTAGTCTTTTCTCACTCAAATCTGCTTCATCTCTTTTTAGGGTGTCTTATTTGTTTCTCGGGCTGCGAACCTTAAGGTCAGCAGTTCGAAACTAACAGCCGCTCCGCGGGAGAAAGATGAGGCTTTCTACTCCCGTAAAGATTTACACCCTCGGAAACCCTGTACAGGGTCGCTATGGGTCGGACCCGACTCGATGGCACTTAACAACAACAACAACAACATTTGTTTCTCATGTTTTCTTTCTTCTTTTTAACATTTTAATCACAGTTATTTTATATTCTTAATAAGATTTTTATGATGTCACTGATTTTGATAGTTTCTGCTGGTTTTATTCTTGTGGCTTTATTACAAAGCAATTCATGTACTTTTGGATTGTGTGTATTTATTCAGCTGGTTCTTGTCTGTGGGAATATTGCAAAGCCTTAGGCAAGGGTGTGTTTTTCTAGAGTACAAATGTTGTTTCTGCAAGGTGTCCTGTGATATTATCAGCCCCAAGATTACTGTGAGTTTCTTGGTTTCAGTTTCCCAAACCATGAAGATAATAGAAATTTGAACCCTCCTGTGGAATTCTGAGGAATTCATTTTCCTATCAGTAGTGTAGACTGAGAAAAAGAATTAATTTTATGTTTTTTGTTGCCAATGGGAAGATTTTTCCCTAGTTCACTTTTGCTCTGTGGAGTTCTCCGTTCTGACTTGTCATTTTGCATGGGCCCCAGACTTTATCACTCATTCCTACTTAGTGGTTGAAAACCAAGCCTCTAGAATTCTGACTTACAGCAACTCCATGTGTGTCAGATCAGAACTGTGATTTACAGGGGTTTCAGTGGCTGATTTGTTTCTAAAGTACAGGCAGTCCCCAGGATACAAATGTAGCTCTTTAAACCAGTTCTCTCATGATCAATGAAATGAAATAGGCACAGATCTGAAGTTTTACAATTTGACAGATTTAGATTTAGCACAGTACCCGAAAAGGGAAATAATATGGTCTGAAGCCCTAAAATGGGAGACTTGGAAGAGGCTTAGTGAGCCGTTTCAAGAGTTTGATGAGATTGTTGACAAGACCGCAGGAGAGGAATACACATTCAGAGTCGCATAGTCAGCTGCCTTGTTTGAATGGGGCATTGCTACTTCTGACTGCTCAATCAGAAGGCAAGAGATTTGGTTGCCATGCAATATGTATGCTTCCCTTCATTGGCAAGAGGGGGAAGGTAGGTTTTTAGCAAGGTTTCAACCCATGAGTTTTTCCAGGTCACTGTAACTTTAAGAATTCGGATCTGTTTTGGTGGCACTTCCAAAACCGTGACTGAGCGGGCAAAACTGGTTCAAAGCTCTGGCAAATTCTTTTTTTTTTTTTATTAAATGCTTTTATTTTGGATTGAGTGAAAGTTTACAGGGCACATCATCAGCTTCACATTCAACCATTCATATAGCTTGTTTCATTACATTGATTATTATCCCCTCCATATATCACCAGTTAACAGTGTTTCTCTCTATCCTCTTTAGCTTTTTTTTTTGGGCGGGGGTGCGTCTGGCAAATTCTTAAAGACACATCTAGAAATGAATCTTGTTTGTAACCCAGGGACGGCCTGTAGATCACCAAAAAACTTTCTGCAGAGTACCTCTGCATAGACTTGAACTAGTAGCTTAATATGTTAATCGTTTTCACCACCCAGGGACTCACCCATCCTCAGTTTACCTTTTGATTTTCAAGTTCCTGTTTGGTTTAGTTCTAAGAGACTTGCTTAATATGAATTTGGCTGTAATTGCAATTGTTACATTTTATCCAACACTTCTGGGTATTTTATATCAGAAGTTTTAAATTTTTCTTTTCAAACCATCGAGTAGTAATTTTTCTTTCTATTACTTACTTATCCAGGCATACCTCAGAGATATTGCGGATTTATTCCAGAATATTGCAATAAAGTGAGGATTGCAATCAAGCGAGTCACACATATTTTCTGTTTTCCCAGTGCATAGAAAAGTTAGGTTTATACGATTTTGTCATCTTTTAGGAGCTTTGATTGTGCTGTAGGTTAAGTGTTGGTCTGCTAACAGAAAGGCTGGTGGTTCGAACCCATTAGCCAGTCCATGGGAGAAAGGCTGAGGCAGTCTGCTTCTGTAAAGATTTACAGCCCTAAGAACCCTATGAAGCAGTCTACTTGGTCTTGTAGGGTCACTGTGAGTGGAAGTGGGCTCAGTGGAATTGGGCTTTGGTAGTCTATCAGGTGTGCAAAAGCATTATGAAAAAGCTTAAAATAATATGAGAATTAATCAAAATGTGATGCAGAGACATGAAATGAACATGGGTTGGAAAAATGGAGCCATAGACTTGTTGGCCACAGGCTTGAGAACTGTCACATATGCCTTTCTCTTATGAAAGAAAATTCACTTCAGGTATCAGTTTATAGTCACATCAAAAACACAAGTGATAAAAAGAGAAGTTTCACAAGTTGGCTCTCATCAAAATCAAAAACTTTTGTGGCTTCAATGTATAATTTCAAGAAAGTGAAAAAGCCTATAGAATGAGAAAAATACTTGTAAATCATATATCTGAAAAAGGGACATGAATCCAAAAATTAGGAAGACTTCTTAAAAACTCGGTAGTAAAAGATGAAAAAAAAAACAACCCCAAATACTTGCACTGAGTCAGTTCTGACTCTTAGCAGTCCATATGTTTCAGAGTGGCACTGTGCTTCATTAGGTTTTTTCAAGGCTATGCCATTTGGGAAGTAGATTAGCAGACCTTTCTTTGAAGGGGCCTCTATGTGAGTTCAAACCACCAACCTTTCCGTCAGTAGTTGAGTGTACAACTTGGTGCTCCTCAGGGACAAATGGTTGGGGGGAGGGGGGGTGCCATGTGCGGAGGAGGTGTTCTGATTTATAGTAACCCTGTATAGGGCTTCTGAGGCTGTAAATCTTCACAGGAGCAGAAAAGCCTTATCTTTTTCCCTCTGAGTGGTGGATTAGAATTGCTGATCTTTAGGTTAGCAGCCCGTTATACTACCAGAGCTCCTAAAAAAAGACTTAACTCAGTTTTTAAAATGGAGAAAGGATTTTAATAGTCATTTCACGAGTTGATGTTAGCTGTTAGCTACCGCAGAGCTCCTGGTGCACATAGATGAAATGCTGTGTCACCCCGGGATGCTTCTGATTGAGCCATGTGACCCAGTGTTCCCACTGGCTCGTTTTTGAAGTCAGTTGCTTTTCTCCTTAGTCCATCTTGCTCTGAAACCTGCTCTGCATGAGAGCAACTGTGGCCACCACTGACAGATGGGGCCGGCTACATATGAGGTGCATTGGCCAGGAATCCAACCTGGGTTTCCCATCTGAAATGCAGAAAAATAAAAATTACCACGCGGTAACACTTCATATGCATCTGGATGGCTATAATTTGAAATTGTGAACAATAACAAATTTTGGAAAGAATGAGAAGTTAGAGCTCCCATGCACTACTAGTGGGAATTTAAAATGGTACCGCCACTTAATTCCTCAAAATGTTAAGCACAGAGTTATATGACTCTACTCCTAGTTACTTACACAAGAACAACCAGTGTTTTGTTCTTTTGTATGTAGGGGCACACTGACTCAGTAACACCTAACAACAACACAAGAGAAATGAAACATATTTCATTAAAAAAAACCCTTGCCCATGAAAATGTTTATAGTAGCATTTTTCATTGTTGTTGCTAAGTAGAGTCAAGTGGATTCTGACTTATAGCGACCCTATATAGGGTTTCTGAAGCTTTAAATCTCTGCTGGGAACAGAAAGCCTCATCTTTTTCTAAAGGAGCAGCTTATGGGCTCTAACCACCAACCTTGTAGTTCACAGTTCAGTGCTTATCTTATAGAGCTACTGTGCTCCCAGTATTATTCATAATAACCATAAAAATGGAAACAGCCCAAATGTCCATATACTAATAAACAGTATGCAATATAGCCATACAATGAAATGTTATTCAGTAATCAAAAGGGTACCACACTATGGATGAACATTGGAATCAATATGCTGCATGAAAGAGGTCAGTCACAAAAGACCACAACGAGTGTGATTTAAGCTTACGAGATGCCCGCAGTAGGCAAGTCTGTCGAGGTGAAAATAGATTAGGATGGGCTCTGATGTGGGGGGCAGGGGGAGGTAATGGGGAGTGACTGCTAATGGTAATGTGAGTGATGAAAATGCCCTAACATTCCACTGTGTTTACACAGTGCTCTAATACTAAACATTCGTGGAGTCTAAATAAGTGAACTTGATGGTGTATATATTGTTAGTTTCTGTTGAAAGAAAGTAAAGCAAGAAAAACAGTTGACAGGTTCACGTCTCTTTCTGTGCACTCATCTGTTCAGATTGTGGGTTAGCTATAAAATACATATATTTCATATGATGATTGTCTCTGTGCTAGAAAATAGTGTATTTCAACTTAATTGATGTTTCATTTTGGTATGATGGTTGATAATTTAAAAGTCTTGGATAGTTGAGGGTCCACATCCCTATTACCAGTTTTGTGATTCTTGTAATGTTACATTACCTGGTAGAGTATTCTTTTATTATTCTGCTTTTTCTACCTCAGAGTTTTCATGAATTTCAGATGAAACTGGGTAACACTTAAAAAGCTGTATTGTTGTTGTTAAGTGTTGTCGAGTAGGTTCCAACTCACAGAGACCCTGTATAGAGAGAGTGTCCAAGAACAACTGGTGGGTTTGAACCACCAACCTTGCAATTAGTGTCTGGTACTTATCATACAGTGCCAGGATTAAGTGGTATTAAGATTCCTAAAGTTCTCTGTATTTTTTCTTTCTGTAGGAGTAAAACACCAATCTTTCCTAACGGTTGAGGACTGCTTTGAGTTGGGCAAAGTGGCCTACACAGAAGCAGATTATTACCACACTGAACTGTGGATGGAACAAGCTCTGAGGCAGCTGGATGAAGGCGAAGTTTCTACTATTGATAAAGTCTCTGTTCTAGATTATTTGAGCTATGCTGTATACCAGCAGGGAGACCTGGATAAAGCACTTCTGCTCACAAAGAAGCTTCTGGAACTAGGTATGCTGAATGGGCCTAATGCAGGAGTAAAGATGTACTGGGGTATATGTGTGTGTGTGACTGTGTTCAGTTTATTTTTGTTATTTATGGTAGTAAATACTGAGCCCTTAGGAATAGGTTCCTCTCTGGTCACAAACTTTCACCAGCTGAATAGTAAATAACCTTGCTTTATGTGTGTTTTTAAAGATACCGTATGAATATATATTCTTTCTTCATTGACATTGAACTCATAGCCAATAGCAGTGCATCTCATGCCTGAAAGAAGCTTGCCTAACATGCATGTCCTCTGTGAGGTATATCGCAGTTTTATTGTGCTTAGGAACACTAGGCAGCACTTCAGCACTACTCTTGGGGCCATTTCAAACAGCAAAATCACCACTAAAATGCACAAAATGTGCAAAAAGTCCCACTGAGTGTAGGATGTTTGTTTACAGTATGAGAGCTGAAAGAAGGGGAACGAGGCCTCCATGGTCAGTCTCACCTGGGAATGTGTGGGCTGGGGACGTATTTGCTCCTCAGCACATATCTGTGAAGGTCTGTGAAAGTGCTAAGGATTTTTATTTTGGAGTTACAGATAAGTTTTGTATTAAGTTGATGGAATTTGGGGACAATGAGGATAGACTGTACATACAGTTGCTTAGTTTTGATACTTTTAATTCATTATCAGCCTTGTTTGTAAACATGCTTCAACCTTCCCCTGTTTTTCCTCAGAGTAAATGGCAACTGATTTTTCTCACTTGATAGAACTATAATGATTAAAAAGACTGTTGTGTTTCTCCTTCCTGTACTCTTCAGGAATTTCAAAATTGGACCATAACCTAGCTAACTCAATAAAACATGTTTATTTACATATTGCCATATTAAATTTTAGCCAATTTCCTTTGAACAGAGTTTTTGGTTTAGTGCATTTCATCTTCAGAAATACTATAAAGTGATTTGAAATAACTGAACTCTTAGAAGAATATTACCACTAGTATTTTGAACAGAGCTGTATTGTTTCTCCAGTGGGCCCAGGGACCACTGCATCAGCATTACTCAGCTACTTGTTAAAAATGAAAGACTCTCTTGGTTTGTGTCCTAGATCTACTAAATCAGTATCTCTGAAGATGGAGTCTGGAATTTATATGCTAATAAATTCAGCTGGCCTTTAGTATAGAATAAATTTCTGAAAAAACAAAAAACAAAAAACAATCATTTTTATGAATAGGTAAATATGTATATGTTAAAAGACTCAAACAGTTCAAAAGGACTCTGCTGACTTGAAAAATGAAATTTTGATAATTGGGTAATTTCTTAGTTGAGTGAATTAATAATTGGGATATTAGTTCAAGCAACCGTTCTTTATTTAGCATTTTCAGTGATTTTTTTTTCCCTCCTGAGTTCTAAAATAGTACTTGTGCTCATTATAGAATTTTTTAAAAAAGTAAAAGATATACAAGGGGCTTCAAAAAGTTTGTGGAAAAATGGAATTAAAAGATAATGGAATTTTTCAGGCTTTTTGAAGCCCCTCATAGAGGCCAGTTCATAAGCCAGTCATGCAAAGATACCCATAGTTGAATTTCACAGAGTTGATTGTATACTTTACTTGCTGGTGGTGGTGGTAGTGTGCCATGGAGTTGGTTCTTAGTCTTAGTGACCCTGCATAGGCTGTGAATCTTTATGGGGGCAGAAAGCCTCATCTTTCTCCCGTGGAATGACTGGTAGTTTCGAACTGCTGACCTTGAGGTTAACAGCCCGACTCATAACTACTGTGCTACCAGAGCTCCTTATACTACTGTATATGAGGGGGCTTAAAAAGCTTGTGGAAAAATTTCATTATCTTTCAATTCCATTTCTCTATGAACTTATAAAATACTCTGTTGTATATTGTAAGCGATTTCCCAAGGACAAGAAGTATTTTACAATCTAGGCTGGACTTCCTGTACCCTATAATTACTATCCCAAGTGAAATATCTGCATTTCGCTGCCTTTTATTTGTGTGTGTTTGGATTTTTTCCCCAGAGGGTGGAGTGACTCTCTTCTCTTACTAAAAGTAGTAAAAATTATGACTAGCAATTCTGAGGCAGTTAGTGGATTCTGGCTTATTTGAAAATTACATCTTTCCTGTTCCTTTTTTTTCTCACTTAGAAATTTGGGACTGAAATCCACTCAGCCCTTGGACATAGGCTGTGCTCTGCATTTGTTTTGTGTTTGTGGTAAAGATTACTTTGAAACTACATGTGTCCTGTCTTCCCAATGGTGATAACTTCTCAGTCTCAGAAATCTTTCCCGTTTTTAGCTCCATCTCACATCAAATTGCACATAGTTCTTTTGGCTCATTTAGTTAGTTCTCAAAGTAAAAGCACTAATTGGTACCTGGAAATGATTGGCTTCATCCTTCTCCAGACTGTTGTACAGAATAACTGTATCTCATGCGATTCATTTGGGTTGGTATAATGATTCTTTTGGGTGTAATAATTTTTATGATTGGGAAGATAAGTTATTTGGTCCTCTGACACTTGGCCAACTGTAAACTAACCAGTGGATATATGCTGCCTTTCTCTTCTCATAGATCCTGAACACCAAAGAGCTAATGGTAACTTAAAATATTTTGAATACATAATGGCTAAAGAAAAAGATTCCAATAAGTCTTCTTCAGATGACCAATCTGATCAGAAAGCCACACTAAAGAAAAAAGGGACTGCTGCGGATTACCTGCCCGAGAGACAGAAGTACGAAATGCTGTGCCGTGGGGAGGGTACCAAAATGGTAAAGTGGAAAAGTCAATTGTGTGTGTGTGAGTGCATGTGTGTCTGTTTGTACACAGTTTATTGAGTGAATACTGACTCCTTATGTAAGCCTCTGATGGAAACCTTACTGACTACGTAAAGTGAAGTACTGCAGTATGCCATGTACACTTCACTGTAACTTTCATGTTTAATATGCCTAAAATTTATAACAAAGCTTGGGAATCAGAATCCACTTTTACACTCCTTTTATAAAACAAAAAAGGCTTATTTTCCAGGATGAAGGATAAGATAAGTTTAAGGGAAGTGATAAAGTTAAAAAAAAATCTTGATGCAAAAAAAGGTTGTAACAGTGTTATATGTACATAATACAACATTCTAACCCATCCCACTAGACATAATGAATTAATCTATTTAATAATCTCTTGTGGTTTTGCTCCTTGGCGATCTTGAAAAGCTTACTTAGGCTATTTAAGAAAATATTACAAATATAGAAAGACTTTTCAGTAGTTTGACTTTAACATTCGTTCTCTGGAATACCCAAATGTGCCCATAAATATTCCTTTATTTATGTATGTATAACTCTGCATTCCAGTTCTTCAGAATGTTAATGGGTATGACACCCCACCCCCACCCCATCCCTCCCAACCCCCAAAGAAGTTCCACTGTCACACAAGTATGGAGAACAGTTAGTAAAGTTAAACAGTAAGTTTTTCTTTAGCTTCAGGAGTTCTCAGAGTGTTCTTACGATGTTATTTATTATGGGTATGATAGGCTTTGTGCTTTTATTGACATATTTATGCAAAGGCTTTAAATGTTGTGGATCGTGAGAAACAATAGATAACATTGAGAAGAATAAGTATTCTAGAACAGTTAATTGTGCTTTTGAGGAACCTGTACATAGACCAAGAGGCAGTCATTCAAAAAGTACAAGAGAGTACTGAATGATTTACTGTCAGGAAAGGTGTGCACCAAGTTATATTCTTTCACCATACTTATTCAGTGTGTGTGCTGAGCAAATGATCTGAGAAGCTGGATTATATGAGGAAGAATGTGGCATCAGGATTGGAGGAAGATTCATTAACAACCTATGATATGCAGATGATACCAACCTGCTTACTAAAAGTGAAGAGGACTTAAAATACTTACTGATGAAGATCAATTATCAACCTTCTGTGTGGATTGTACTTCAATGTAAAGAAAATAAAAATCCTAACCACCAAACTAATAAATATATGGAGAAAAGATTGAAGTTGTCAAACACTTCATTTTGGAGCCACCATCAACACGCATGAAAGCATCAGTCAGGAAATCAAATGGCGTATTGTTTTAGGCAAATCTGCTACAAGAGACCACTTTAAAGTGTTTAAGAGCAAAGATGTCAGTTTGAGGATCCAAACGATGGTATTTTTAATTGTCTCTTGAATAAGATAGACCAAAGAAGAATCAACACATTTCAGTTATGATGTTGGAGAAGAATATTTAAAGTACCGTGGACTGCCAAAAGAACAAACAAATATGGTGAAACTTTGTCTCTCATACTTGGAACATGTTATCAGGAGGGACTAGTCCTTGGAGATACTTTTAATCTAGAGGTTCATCAAAAAAGACGTAGACCCCCAATGAGATGGGTAGGCACAGTGGCAGCAGCAGTGGGCTCCAATGTTATAGTTGTGAGGTTGGCACAGGACAGAGCAGTGCTGCAGTCTGTTGTGCATAGGGTCACTGTGAGTCGGAACTGGCACTTAACAACAAATGCGTTGTTAGCTGACAGTAGTTGATCTTACCCACTCAAACCCACTGCCATTAAGTCGATTCTGATGCGTAACAACCCTGTTTAGGGTTTCCAAGACTTTAAATCTTTATGGAAACAGAAAGCCTCATTTTTCTCCTGAAGAGTGGCTGGTGGGTTTGAATGGCTGGCCTTGCAGCAGCAGTCCAGTGCTTACCTTAGAGCTCTACCAGAGCTTCTTAATTGATCATGTTGTTGTTGTTATGTGCCGTGGAGTCGGTTCCGACTCACACTGTACAGGGTTTCCAAGGCTGTAAATCTTTATGGGAGTAGAAAGCCTCATCTTTCTCCCTCAGAACAGCTGGTGCTTTCGAACTGCTGACCCTGAGATTAGCAGCCCAATTTGTAACCAGTACGCTATTTAAAAGGAACGTCATATGGGACTAATGTATATTTGAATATGTATGTAAAAAAGAGTTAGTGAATTTTTGAAGTACTTTTAAGCATAAACATTTTAATAGTGTTTAACTCTTCTTCTCTACTACAGGAGTCCTGGTGTGGCCCTGTAGGATAAGCACTGGACCACAAGGTCAGTTTGAACTGCTTGGACAGCGGTTCAAACTCAACAGCCGCTCCTCGGAAATCCTATACGGGATTGCTGTGAGTCGGAACCGGCTCAATAGACTGAACTAGAACAACAGGAACCTGCAGCTGGGTTTTCTGTTTTGACATTGATGACTGTGACTGCCTGAAGTCTAACAACTAATAAGTGGGTCATCTTTGTTGGTCGTTTTGGGAGCTGGACCCATGGGGCCCTGGTAGGACCTGATTGCTTTTGCGTTGGGAGCTAGTCATAATCATTAGATAAAGGTTAGTAACACTTTTGGACTGCAAGGTCGCTTTGAACCACAAGGTCAGCTGTTCAAGCTCACCAGCCACTCCTTGGGAACCTTATATAGGGTCGTTATAAGTCGGAACCGACTCAGTGACACTTAACAACAGCAAGTAACACTGCTTTAGACTTTCTGAAAATTTAATATGTATTTCATGTTAACTTCTAAAAATACTCTTAAAAAGTAATTAAAATACCATTGTTGTAGTTGTTGTGTATGCAGTGAAGTTGGTTCCGACTCATAATGACACTGTATAGGGTTTTCATAGAGTGGCTGGTGAGATTGAACTGCCAATCTTGTGGTTCAAACTAACTTTGCGGTCCAATGCTTTAAGCCACAGCACCACACCAGGATTCCATTATCACACCTAAAAAAAAAAGCGCAATGGTTCAATAATGTCATCAAATGTCTAGTTTAGTATTCAGATTTCCAACAGATTTTTATAGCTCTTAAAGAAGAGAGTAACTGCTAGTTCAATAGAACGCCAAGTAAGAAACAGAAGTCTGTTAACTTGCCAGCCTATTGATGTGCTATATATGTGTCAGTTCTGCCCAAGATTGAAGGTTGTTTTTCTCTTAGAATAAATTCATTCCATCATTAAAGAAACTAATTTTTTACATATATAAAGCTGTGGATTTGACTTTAAGTAATAAAGCACATGGAGAATTATAACTTGTTTTAGTGTGTTATCTAATAATTAATGCAAAAACGAATACTTGTGCTTCATAGATGACCTTACGAGTAACTTGTGTTATTTAGTTAATATAATACAGAGATGATTGAAGAGAACATTTTGTACACTCTAAGAAAAGGACCTGACTTCTTTGTTTAATAACTTAGTTCTTTTTTGAGTTAGCCATTTTAGTCTTTGCTCTTAAAAAAAACAAGAAAACAACCTTTTTTTTGATCACAAGCATTGTTGTTAGCAACTCTGTATAGGGTTCTCAAGGAGTAGCTGGTGGTTTTGAACCACCGACCTTGTAGTTAGCAGTCCAGTGCTTATCCTACAGCACCACACCAGGCTGAAAGGTAGTTAGGAAAACTGACCAGGTTTTGTTTTTGTTTTCTTCTTCTAGAAGCTTTGTTTTTCTGAGCATTATACTAGTTTGTGAAATTTGGAGCAATATTAGACATTCTTTTTTAATTCATTATTATTTAATTGTTTCATATTTATGACACCTAAACTTTATTATTTTCATGAGAGAAGAGATTAAGCACTTGACCGCAAGGTCAGTTTGAACTGCAAGGTCGGCAGTTCAAACTCACCAGCTGCTCCTTGGAAACCCTGTACAAGGTTGCTGTGGGTCAGAACCTACTCCACGGCACTTAACAACAACAATCTCTCCCCAGAAAATACTTCTTAATAAAATGTTTTAAAATCCTGAAAGCCCTGTTTGATGCAAAGCATTTACAGAGTACTGTCTCTTTTGTGTATCCTTCCAGAGATATGCTTTGCATATGCAAGCATGACTATTGTTTTTCCTATCTGCATAGGAATAGCTATCAACAATATTACTACTCTAACATAGTCATCACTTTTCTTAACTTTATATTTAGACTCCTTGGAGACAGAAAAAACTGTTTTGCCGCTACCATGATGGAAACCGGAACCCTAAATTCATTCTCGCTCCAGCCAAACAGGAGGATGAATGGGACAAGCCTCGTATTGTTCGCTTCCATGATATTATTTCTGATGCAGAAATTGAAATTGTCAAAGATTTAGCAAAACCAAGGGTAAGTAACTTTTTTTCCTTCTTCTTTGTTTACTTTACTTACAGGTTTTTCTGTGTTTTGAAAGATGGCTGAAATGACCGTTGATAGAACAGTAACCCCACAGATAGTGTTAGAAATAACTCCATCAACATAATGGAGTTGGTAACGGAGCTCTAGTTCGGCTAGGTTTTCTTAGTTTGTTATAGCATACAGTGAGTGAGCTATGCTGTCCCTGGGTTTTAAGCACAGAACTATGAAAATCAGAGATGAAATTTATATTCACACTATGTCTGTGCTTCAGCATTTTCCTAAAAACTTTTCTGTATATTTTGGAGTTTGGTAATCTCACAGACTAATGAAAGCTCAATTTTTCAGACTTTCTATATTTTTATCTGAAAGAACACTTTAGTTTTATCCCCTTCTACGTACATTGTTACTAGAAATATAATTGGGCACAAGCATCATGCTGATTTGAAATGTTGACTTCATAGTTTACTGACTTCAGCCCGTCATTTATCTTAATAAGAAAATTAATTAACCGTAAACACAAGTGTTTAAACTTAGTTGTTTAGTGTGGAGATTTCTCTTTATGAAGATGGATAAGAGAGTACCCATTACGCTCTTGCCTATTTTCCTATCAGCTTATTCTTAAACAAGCTTCCTACCTTGTCTTATTGTTGTTGTTAAGTGCTATTGAGTCAGTTCCAACTCATGGTAACCCTGTATAGAGTTTCTTAGGACTGGCTGGTGGGTTTGAACTGCTGACCTTGTGGTTAGCAGTCCATTGCGTATCCTACAGCATCACTCCAGGACTCCATATTGGGTCTGACTCATGTTGCTATATGCCATTGAGGTGGTTCCGACTTATAGTGACTCCATATAGGGTTTCTGAGAGCAACTGGTGAGTTGGAACTATTGACCTTCTACTTAGGAGTCCAGTGTTTATCCTGCAACACTACACCAGGGCTCCCTATTTGGTCTTACTGTTCGTAAAATATGCACTGCCACCATCATCACAAGGGGACTGCTAGATACACAGGAGGCACATTTTGGCTCTCCTGTGTAACGTGAGTGGACAAACTCTGAAAAGGTCTGAATGAATAGGAAATCTTTCTTACACTTTGCAGGCCATACGGTCTCAGTCATAATACTCATCTCTACAGTTGTGGTGCAAAAGCAGCAATAGACATTACATAAACAGATGATTGCTGTTGTATTCCAATAAAACTTTACCTACAAAAACAGAAGAAGGGCTATGTAAAAATGGAGAGGTGTTGTCCTTTGACTGCCTTTGATGACACAAGAGGGAGAGAGAATCACCATCCACCTTTGATGCCTTTGAGGTGGAAAACAGACGTGCCTATAGCCTTCTCTACCAAATTTGACCCCAGCTATCCCTCTCATGGCACGATTTCCTTTTCTGTGTTCAGTAATTCATTGTAATGGCCGTGTGGAACTCAGACACCATACTCACAGTTAGGGGGTCTCCTGAGGAAGGTAACAGTTATAACTCAAGATTGGAAATGCTCAGGCACAGTTCTTTCCGTCTGGACAGCCTCTTCCCAGTCATGCCCTCAGGCAGACCTCACTCTCTGGTCCTTGGCTTTTCAGCCATAGGTCCCTTGGCTACTTCTTTTCTCCAGCAGTTAAAAAGCTCGTTTAGAGACTACTGACAAATGCCCAGAGGACATGCCACTATACTATAAGCCTCAGCCCAAAGGTGCTTAGCTCTTAACTCCCTAGTTAATTGTCTGTCTGGAGGCACCCCAGAAGCACTCAGCTTTACTTACTCTGTAGGCTGGGATGCCCACCACTCTGTCTGGTGCTCTGACTCTTGGTTCTGTTGCTGTTAATTCTCTGCCACTCCTCTGTCCGTGGACTGAGGAAGTTTAATGCACAGGGCTCTCACAGTCCAAAGGATGAGTTCCACTCCGTCATCTTCCTTGATGGTTGAGATATCCCCACTTCCTGCTTCTGAGATGGCTCATTGTTTTATCAATTGCAGTTAGCCACGTTAACAGTCATTCACACCTGAATCATATAATCATATCAGCATTTTCTTCCACCTTTTCTTACTCATCAGGAGAAGAATAGTTTGACTTTACTGTGGGCTGAATTGGTCCAGTGGCCTGTAGTTTGCTAACTCTTAATAGATGGACCCTAAAAATTGAAGTGTCTGGATATCTGCACTACAAATGAAGTCAGATTTTGTTGTTACTACATCTTTTTGCTTTTCTAAAAAATTTTTTTAATCTAACAAAGGATGAATTATAAATGGAACATACTGGTATAATTTGCATGGGTTCTATTGTAGGAAATTCCTATAAATCATCTACCAAGTGGAATGCTATTGGTAGTTACCTCATATTCTGCCACTCTCTGAGATTTCGATTTTAGTTTGTTAGTTATGATCGATAAACCCAGTAAAACAAAATAGCTCGATAGAATATCAGTAAGAATCCATTTCAGTTTGGCGATCACTTCTTATGTGGACTTGAAGGGGATGCCTCACTTTAGATTTTTTTTTTTCTCATAGTACCACGAGGGTTCCTTTAATAACGATAAAGAAGTAGCAAATGTAATTTACACATTGTTTTTTAAAATGCAGATACAACTCTAAGCCATTTTTAATGAATTATTTTTTATCAAGAAATACAATCACAATTAAAGTTCCAAACATTTTTTTTTAAATTTCTTTTTATTTACCTTTGCAGTATCTTTCCATTAAATCATTATCTTGGCTGTCATATCCTTAATGTTTTTGAATCTGTGAGTTTTTTTTTTTTCATCTGTCTTTGTGCTCTGTCCAAGATTGCTTCACTGTATATGTTACTGGATGGATGTATTGAAGGACGAGAAGAGTGACCTTAAGATGAATTTTGTACAGCATTCATTTAGCAAACAATTTCTTGACTGAAAAATTAGAATCAAAGGTTTTGGAATAGACCATTAACTGCAAATAGCCATTCTTACCACTATAAATTATACTTTTAATTTTAGAAATTTCTCTTTTCCTCACTACCTCCCACACTCTAGTCCTTGGGGTAGAGATTAATTTCCATTCTTTTTTGTTTGTGTACCTTTCATCTCTGTTATCTCAAAAAACAAAAATTAAAAAAAAAAAATCTAAATATAAAACCCATCTGACTTTCAAAACTCAGCCCAAGGTGACTGGAAGTATATAGAGTTATTTTCTCTTTTCAGCCTTCTTTGTAAAACCCCCCAAATTCTGACTGGTTGGATAAATGTGGGTCATTTTTTTGTTTTGTTTTGTAATGCAACTATTTTGATGGTTGGCTTCACAGCTGAGGCGAGCCACCATTTCAAATCCAATAACAGGAGACTTGGAGACGGTACATTACAGAATTAGCAAAAGGTAAGCCATGTGCACGCTGCGTATTTTGCCCTCTAACGAGTGTTTTGAATATCCTACAGGAATTGCTCATGTAAGGGAAGTAGGTCGTTTTCAGTCTCCAGCTCGTCACTACCCTGTACATGTGTTCACATCGACAAACTGCTCTGTGTTTCACAGGTCTTTCTCTTTAACTAGAAGTTCTGTTTTTTAAATCTTTAATTGGCTATTGTTTTTTGGAATTAATATGCTATGAATTGATCTCTAAATGAGATATTAAGTATCCAGGAAATTGTCTGGTATTTGTTTTCTTTTTCCTTTTTCTTGCCAAAGAGGGGGAAAAAAGAAAAGAAAATAATGTAGATTAATCTTGGAGTAATCTTTGTGCAATATAATTACATTCATAAATGCTACGGTGAATTCACATCATCTTTAATAGTGAAAATACCGGTATGTGTCTATGTCTTGTAAAATGTCATTGTCATTATGGAGTAATTTATAGTTTTCCTGTTGGCAATTTTTTATTAAAAACCAAAACAACAGTAAAAGCCCTGCTGACTCAGAACTTGGCAATGGGAAGGATAGGGTCACGCTTCTGAACGCAGTCTTCCAAATACTTTTACTTACGAACTTACTTTAAAAGCAATTTTATCTCGTTGAGATCTTTTTTAAAAAATGATTTTAAGGAGACTACTAATTACTTTTTTTAAAGCAGTTTAAAGAACATGAAACCACTTCTCGATTCTGAGAAACCTCCTGTGAAACCCAGTGCTAGAAATCATTTATATGATTTTTTAAAAAAAGTGAAAGGACAATAAATCTACAACAGAAATCTGTCATTTTCTCTTGATTAGAAGTGGCTGTTTTTATTGCCAACTTTCTAAATGTTGTTGCTGATTTGAAACCATTACCTGTCATCCATACCAATCTGAACCCTTCCAGTCACCTGTGGCTTGGCAAAACAAAACAAAAAATGAACTACAACAAAAAATCAACAAAATTTTCTGCTACTGGACTAAGTCCATGTCCTTTCTCTTTTTTTTTTTTTTTTTTTGTAGCTGAGCCGAGCTACAGTACATGACCCTGAGACTGGGAAATTGACCACAGCACAGTACAGAGTGTCTAAGAGGTAAGGGAGTGGTGGAGAGAATTTGAGTCATATTTGGGCCATCTCCTTTCTTGAGAATCTAATTTTCACAAAACCCTTAATGTAGTTTTTTTCCCCCCTTGATGTAGTTTTGAAGACCCAATCAGTCGCCCTTCTTGGATAATATCTGTATATGAACTTTTATGATGGTTAATAAACAAACATGATTATGAGGCAGTTAATAGAGCTTTTCTAGAGCAAATTTTTCCATGACAAAAATGCTTGCTGAGGCTTCTCAAACCCTTAACTGGTCACTGAAACTACATTTTTATGTCAAAGTAAGAGAAGTTCCGAAAGACCCTTCCTAGAACAGGGTCTAATTTGGCCTTTGTAGTACACAGCAGGACAGGCATGTTAGAGACATAATTTAAGTATTTCTGAGCTAAGCCTAAACCTAATTTTAAGTTAAACTTAAGGTAATTTTCCATACTGTTATAGCATGTCATTTGTGTCTGGGAAAATGAACCTTTACCTTATTTACTTAGTTTAAATTCACCTTATTTATTTAATTTAATTTAAGTTGTTACATGTTTTGCCACAGATTATTGTATGGGTTTAGGCATTCTTACTTTCAAATGTTTATGAGTATCTAAGTTATCCAGATTTGGATGTTTTCAGGAAGTATGAAAAACAAATTTCATGAATACAGTGTTTTGGAGTAAATTTGTGGTAAATTTTATACATATATGAGGGTAAGTAACAAAGTATTGCTACTGGGGTTCTAGTTTATACATGTTTATTCTGAACAAAACATGTTTTAAAATGTCTGAGATCAGTGGGTGGCTGAAGAGTTCTGTCAGTAATACACTTACTTGTAGTCTCACCAGGGTGTCTTCTAAAAAAAAGGTCTAGTCAGAACAGCTGGCTGCCAAGGGGATCTTCTGGGCTAGTTAAGTTCGAGGCAGAGAGGTCAGCTCCGAAGGTTATGGTGATAATTTTGGGTAGTTCCAAGGGGTAATCTTGTTATTTTTCCGAAGGACACAGGGTGATCATGGGTAGATGGGGGAGAGGTGGGGTGAGGTACTTATTAGGAAGAAGTTTTAATAAAATTGAAAATTGCATAGGTGAAAACAGGCCAGAAAAGTTGTGCCAAGAATATTTTTCGCATCGTGATAATGCACCTGCTCATTCTTGAAGGGTATTGAAGATTGGCCTGTGAGTGTGTTGGTGGGAAACCTGACCCATCCACCTACAGTCTGGATCTTACCCCTTCAGGCTTTTTGTTGTTGTCCCTTAAACTCAAACATTCAAAGGAACATGACTTAAGCCCTTTGAGGATGCCAAAACTTCTGTTTTGACTTGGTGTAAATTTTTAGGAGCACAGAATTCCTCGGGGAAGGGTTAAAGAAGTGGACAGGGGAGGATAGGTTCAGAAACAGTATTTTTGTTTGATAAAAGTTTCTGTGATTTTGTAGTAATACTTTTGACTTACCCTCATACAGTAGACCTTGTAAAAGAAATATCCAGCTCACAGCCGTTGGATTCTTGCCAATAAGTCATAATAAAGTACCACTGGAAAGGTGACCTGTAAGCATTTTTTTTCTTAAAAACAAAAATATTGCTGAATATTCCAAACTTATTCTTTTAAAATGTGCTAGATTTATAACTGCAAACAACTTCCTTTGATTCCTGAAAAGGGTATATTCCTATGTTATGTATGTTATGTGTCAGCAGAAGGTGTATAGGCAGTAGTATTAGAAATATTAAAATATTCTGAATAACACCAGAATAGATTCATCCAATCCTGGCAAACTACACAGGGTACATGTCTGTGTGTGTGTTGAAAACAGATGAGTAAATATGAAATTTTATAGCACAATGAGCTTCATGTTTATTTTAAGGAGAATTTTCTAGTAACCGTTTAAAAAATAGTACACATTCTGAAAGAGAGCATCATTGTTAAGACATTTGCTAATTATATTTTAATAAATAAAAAGTTTCCAATTAAGAATTTAATAGCTTAGGTTAAGACATTTTTTTACTGGTCATTGTAAATCTTAATTTTGAAGATTCTGACAAATGAAAAATGAGCATTTTATGCTTCTGTTGTAAAATATACTTCTGACAAAGGCATCTTATAAATAGAAAAATTAACGTGTTCTAATGTTAGCTAGTAATAATTTAATCCCTTTTGCTTTGGGGACATCGGTATTTTGAAACAGTCAGAAAGGAATTTCAAATGTCCATATTTTGAGAAATTTCTAAGTGATTGCATCATCTCCTGTGGAAGTCAGAAAATTCTTGTTCCAGTATTTCAGAAAATAGAATTTTCTTTGAGCAAAGTATGTGTAGAAATCTTATACTGTTTTAAAAACTCTAAGACTAAAACAGTTTTATGTATGTTACTGACCACCCATAAACTTTTTCAATGTTAAAGCAAAACAGAAAAAGACTTTGAACATTTATGGCTGTATCAGAGAGGTAGAATTTTAATATTTAGAAGGCAAACAATTAGGTTCTCTGGAAAGGGGGTTTAGTTACATGAGTTCATAAAGTTCAGTTAAAGTAAGATAAATAATGATGTTAGCAAATAATCTGTTTAGAATGGTTGAAAAAGCTTCTTAGATGGTAGGCTTTTTTGGGAAGTGTTTTTCATTTTTTATTTTTGGAAGTGCTGATATTCTATAGCATGATATTTTACTCTGCTTAAGATTTAATTTGTCTATATTAATAAGGAGAAAATAATATAAAAATATTAACTATTTTAGAATATCTGTAAGAATATACAAAGAGCTTTGAATGATTTCAGATGTTTTAAAAAATAGACATAGCTTTTAACAGTTCGTCTTCTTAACGGTTTAGCAGTGGTTCCCAGATGACTGGAATGAACAACATTATGGAATAACTGTATAATTATCCCACCAAGAAGAAATGGGACTGGAAAGAGTCTGGCTATATGACTAGCCTTTCTTTGTTAGACATCAAGCACTAAGAAAAGAGTTATTGGAAGTTTTGCCGTCTGTAACTAATATTTGGAACCCTGAATTATCTTGTTTAAAAACAACAAAAAATATTTTACATATGTAAATCAAATACATATGATATCTAATATTGTTGTTGTTGTTAAGTGCCTTTTGAGGCAGTTTTACATAACAAACCCTGTGTAGCATTTCCAAGGAGCAGCTGGTAGAACCATTTTGTTCTACACAACATGTTGTTGTTGTTAAGTGCCGTCGAGTCGGTTCCGACCCATAGCGACCCTGTACAGGGTTTCCGAAGGTGTAAATCCTTACGGGAGTAGAAAGCCTCATCTTTCTCCCGCGGAACGGCTGGTAGTTTCGAACCGCTGACCTTAAGGTTCGCAGCCCGATTCGTAACCACAGACACAACATAGTGACTGTCATAAATGTCACTGGATTGTATATGTAAATATTTTTAATTGGTAAATGTTTAATTATATTTTACCACAATAAAAAATTAATAAAAGGATGACAGGAATGACAAAAACATTAAAAGAAGACCAAATCACACAGAAATCTATTAGAAGGAGGAAAAATGCTGAAGCATTGATTACTAACATTGAATATACAAACTAGTTCTCATGTTTATGTCATTAACACCAAAAGGAACCTGTCTTAGGCTAACTAGTTATTAATGGAAAAATGGGGCACAAAGATAAGTGTTCTCAAATAACTTACACTGCAGCAAGAGCTCTTTTTTCTTTTGGAACCAAATTTTGTTTTATAGGAAAGACATTGTATAACTTGGTTGATTTTTCAATTATAGTTGTACAGAGGATGAAGTGTTCTTTTTAAATCATTCAGTTAAAGCATTGAAGAAGAAAATAAATAAATCTTCATTTATGATGATTTAAAGCAGGATTAGGACTTCCAGGGCCTAAAATAATGGGTATTTAGCGTATATTACTTTGTCTCCATTGAATTTTTAGCAATACTAAAAGTAAATTCAGGATAGATTTTTTTAAAACTATCTGATAAGTTTAAAATAATGTTATCTAGGCAGATTAGCAGTAATGGTTTGTTTAGATGGATGGGCTCCAGATGAGTAAAATGTTGTAAACAAATGGAGTTCAGCTAAGGAGAGTCTTACATTTTGGAGAGTTTTTCACATTAAGTTCAAAATGAAATAACTTCTCTGGCATCAGCAGAATTCATTTTACTCTATAATGCTATAATGCCTACAACAGAACCACAATTAGATAGCAGGCTTATTTTTTTCTCTTCTTTTTTAAAATCTGCAATAATCATTTGCTTGAAGTGCTAAGCCCTAAACCTTTCGTTGAGATATTTTTTTGTTATAACCAGAAATACGAATTAAAGCAAGACAATTTTGCCTGTAAGATTGGCAGAGACCAAAAAGCTTGATAAAGATTTTATCTAATGGGTACTCTCATAAACGACTGGTAGAAATATGAATTACTGCAACTTTTTTAGAGTGTGGTTTGACATCATTTATCAAAATGTGAAAGTCATCTAGCAAGTCCACAGCTAGAATTTATCCTATTAGAGATACAGTATACACTAGGGCTGTACTATACAAAATAGAGGTTTTTGTTTGTAATATAGAAAAATTTGAAATAACCTAAACAAGTGCTATGTGGCTAAAGCTTAGTAGTCATTTCTGGAATTAAAGATATTTTTTCAAAAGAAGAAAAGTAGTAGTTTAAAAAGCAGAAGCTACAACTATGTGTATTGAGTTGGCACAATGCCAGCAGTATTATCAGATCGGGAGAAGTATGTGGAAATGGAGGTAGGAAATAGGTGGTTGGCCCCCCCCATCAGGGGCCAAAAGGCTGAAAGGATAGATGTTTTCTGCTTATTGTGAGATTGTTAAAAGTATTTCTTTGTGAGGAATGGGTCTAGGGAAGAGACTTCAAATACTTATGTATTGTTTGCTGTTTGTTGTGACTTGACTCAGCGACCTTTTTTTTTGAGAGTGGCTTCTGGGTCTGAACTGCCGACCTTATTGTTACCAGTCCTGTGCTTATCCTACAGCACCATACCAGGACTCTGTATTGTTAA